TTAATAAAATTTTAAGTATTTTTATTGGCAAAATTATATACAAAGTACTTCGAATAACAAAAACCTTTACACTATCTTAAACAAAATAATATCATCAAACTCAGATATTTCTATCAAAGATGCAATGATCATTACTTCAACTAAGAATATATCAAATTTGATTGGAATTATAGAATATGCCCATAATGTTTACAAGTCAGCCTACACACCTGTTGTGTTTTTTGTAGATGTGTATTCTGATGTGCATTAGCATATCCAACAAGATTCAAAGATAATGGTGAAATTGAAACCTGGGCCAAATGTTCATTCTATTATAATAAGTATGATGAAGATGCATTTCAAAAACATTTAAAAATGTATTAAGGAGTTATCAGCTGTGATCTTAAGATTGTATTTCTTGAAGTAAAACCACATCCTGCCAAGTAAAATGCAATAATAACTACACCAAAGTTTATCAATCTGAGAAAGAAACTATATGAGAATTATAATAAAATTTATAATAATGCAAAACCATGTATCTCAAAAAGAACAAAATATTGTTACAATTGTAAGAAGTCTGGACATATTAAATAAAACTGTCCAGAGGTACAATGTTGGAATTGTAATAAATATGGCCATCTTAAAACAGATTGTAGTTATCAATAGTTAAAATTATAGATTGACACCCATATACTGCTAGGCTGGAGTAGTTAGATTAGTTGATAGTTAACTTTAACATTGGGACTGATGTTAATGTATTTGTTAATATTAAGTCAAATGATAAAGTTAACCATCGAATAGACTTATTAACTATATTTTAGTCTGTGGTATATGGATGTTAATCTTTTCTTTATTTTGTTGATCTGTATCTTTACAAATTTATATATAATAAAATATCTATAAATAACCAAGTAAAAGTGTATTGAAAAATTGACTATAATAATGTTCAAATTACAGAAACATCCAGTTGTATCCTACTTTGATAAAAAAATTTGCAACATATGTAATTATAAGATCAAACACAATAGTGGTATTGCTTCTATGAAGAGGCATTTTATTAACAAGCATAATAATGAATGGCTTAGTATTTATAAACATGAATTTATTAGAGGCAGAACTCCAAATAAAAAACATCCAGTAAAGAAATATTTTTATAAAAGAAATGTGTTGTATGTAATTATAAATTTCGAGTTAATTCAAAACTTTCAACTATGAAAAAACACTTTGTGGATGCCTATAAAACAGATTAGAATACATTTGTTAAGACAAAAAGTTTATGATTAAGTTAATACAAAAAAAAACTAAACTCAAATTGTTGAGAAACTGACTTTAAATCCTATTATTCAAACAAATGAAATAAAGAAATTTAAGACTAAACCTAAGAATACTATTTTGAAAAAGAAACCCAAAGTATTTAAAAAAATTTTTAAGAAACCTACTATTGTTAAAAAACAGAGATTACTCTTATTTGGTTATGACATCCAAAATGTAAATCATCATTTTAACCAATATAATATGCTAAATATGTATCAATATAACATTTGTTATAAGGTAATCCAACCAGAATTAGTCTTTTTGTATATAAGACTCAGATGTAAGAAAAGATTTTTAGGTAATCCAAATAAATTTGGAAATACCATGTAACTTTATGAAATATATAAATAAAACAATTCTAAATTTAAGTTAACTTATAAAAATGTTTGAAGCAACTTTTTCTAAAGCATCTTTGTTTAAGCATGTCATCGAAGCAACAAGAGAGCTTGTTACTGATGTTAATATTGAGTTTACAGAATCTGGCATTAATTTTTCAAGCATGGATTTATCAGACATTGCACTAATTTCTGTTCATCTTAATAAAGAAAGTTTTAAAAAATATGTTTATAACAAGGATAAAATTATTGCATAAATCTAGATTACCTAAACAAGATACTCAGTTGTGTAACGAATAATAATACTCTTACACTTAGATTAGAAAATACAGATTTTTTAAATGTTTTATACAGGGCTTCTGATGATATTAGTGAAACTGAATATGAAATCAATTACTAAATATTAACCAAGAAAGGATCAGTATCCTACCTACTAACCACAGTGTAATTATTGAAATGCCTTCTGTTGAATTAAAGAAAATATTCTTAGACCAAAT